GAGCGATGCGCGCCTTTAATCCATCGCGTTCTCGTTGCGTTTGAAATTTCATCTCGCAACTGAAAATTTCTAAGCAAACAAATTTCTGCGTCGCTCGATCAACTTGACAAATATATCAATCATTTTGACTCCAAACATAAAAAAATCTCAACTATATTTCTTTATGCTTTTAGTACGAATTTACATCGTCACGAAAAAATTGTCTTGCCTTCTGAATGCGTGCTACTATTTACACAAATAAAAATTACAAAATCGGTTTCATGCAAACGTGTAAAATAATTTATTTTATATATTTTTTATGAGACATTGAAAGAGATGTAATATTGAGTATATGCAATGTCGACAGTTTCGGATTGTAAAAAAAAAAAACTACAAAATCATACAAGAAATAAGGTAGATAAATAAAAAACAAATTAAGTTTTATTAATATTGCGTCATAAGTGTATAAATATAAGGTTTATTTATTTTTATTTGTTCCAAGTAAAACAAACAATTAAATGTAATTTTCGATTACCTTAATATTATAAAATACACAGTACACGCGCTTATTAATAATTTTCTCTTGAAATATCGTGAAATAGGACGTATATAATACAGAGTTGAAAAACACGCGCGCGCGCGCGGTCTGTGTGAGCGTGTTATATAATATAATATAAAGGGCATAAACTTTACCCAAAAACCATACAAATATTAGTATCAAAGTCAAACGAAATAATATAGTGTATTAAAAAAAATCTTGTCAGGATTGTAAAACTCATATACTACTTATCTCTATTTCACGGTAGATGATATTACCTCGAATTTAATATTATGTTTATTCATTTGCTCGATCAGAGATGTTTTACCCAATGCAGCACCGGGAGTGAGCACTCCTCCGCTGTAAAGATATAACAACACAAAAATAAAGCCGAAGTTTAACATGTAATTATATAATTATTATTGTGTTTTAATTGCTTATATTATAAACTTGTGAAATTTGTGAAAAATCTTCAAGTAATAACTATGTTAGACACGAGAGACAGTTACATTAAGTAATTAATGATTCACTCACTTGTCAGGTATTTTGTCACTTTCATTAAGAATTGTAATCGCCGATAGGATCGCTATGATGCTAGTCCCTTCATATGCGGGAGAATCACCGGTGACTTTAGTAATTACTTCTTTATTAGGTGAATTTGTGTGTTTATCGGTAGATTCAGTCAACTTTTCAGTCCATCCACGGGCTTTGCATATCACAGAAAAGTGTATCGATTCCCATACTTTCGGATCCGGATTCTCGTGACTGATAAAACCGAACGAAAATAGAGAGGGATACTGCAAATATCGCATGTAATTATCTCATATTACCTAAATAATTTTGACAATCGCAAATATTTTGACACGCACTTTTAGAAGTAAATTACGACCGCATGCTATACGAGTCATGAATAATACAATCAAACCGAAAATAGAGAGCGTCAGGAACACCAAGAAAGACCTAATAGTAATAAACGTACATTAGCAGAAATTACTTCTTAATATTTGTAGCGTTTTACCGATATTGTACTGACTTAAACGTGGCATAAACTCGAATTTGCGCTGGCCTCTCTTTGTACTTGTCATACAAGAATCGCTGTGTGCGAAGAGCTAGTGAACGATCGGTACTCGGAAACCATACAGACCATCCTTCAGAAACATCACTTCGGTGCACTAAACCTCTGCAATGAATGAAATTATTAATGCTGTTTATATCATTAATAATATTAGTCACTATTTCTTTTTCTATCAACGTATAAGGTTTGCATAATTTGTAAATACTTGGTACGAGTACAAACCTGACTTATAATTGATAAAATTATAATTTATAATTGTACACATAACGTTTAGGAAGATGCAGACCTTGATTTTAATTTCGGCGTAAATTCGGGCAATTTGGTAGGATATAATTTTTCGTGCAATTCTCGTAGTTCGTATGCATGAGCCAGACTATATATCGCAGACTCCCAAGTTCCATAATTCAGATACGGACGTTTGTTATCAGTGGCGGTTGACCACGTCGACATGTATACTTCAACATCATTGACTTCTCCTCCAAATTTCTGTTGCGTGAAAATTATTCCTAAATCGCTAGGGACACAGTCAAAGCCGCAAGCGCTCACTACGTAAATACCAGCT